ACAAATGCATATCGTATTGCTAGTAATAAATTTAGATGATTACGAACAATAACTGAAAATTGTATTCGCTAAGAAAATTTATATCCGGGAATTAATTATTCTGTCTATTCAGATAATTTACTATAGCTATATAACGATTCCCACCTGGTTCTAATAATTTATTTTTAAAAAAGTCTGGTACTTTCGCAAGTATCAAGTATGTAAAATTAATTTTTTTTTTTTTTTTTTTTTTTAAACTTAAGTAGTATAATTCAATTGAGAACAGTTTTTATAACAGTCTATTTTTTTTTACTCAATAACTCTTACACATAAACAATGTTTTTGATTGCTTGACACATTTTCTCTATGAAAAAATGGTGCACAGATTTATGATCAAACATAGGTATGTGATAGTACAAGGGTATACAGAACTATACTGAATATAACATGGGACAGTGCATGGGAAAACATGCTCTGAATATGTAAAAAGGCATGGATCCTGTGCAACAGTTCATATAATAATTATGTAATTTACCCAAGTTGATATCGTGGGTTTGGGTTTGTAATTCAGATTACCGGGTTAATTTGAGGAGCATTAAGTACATCACTTGTTTTACTATTTCATTAGCTTGTTCTTGGCTTTGAACTTTGTAACAGATGTTTTGTTATAGGAAACGAATATAAATAATGTTCAATAGTTTCACCTAAATAGTAATTGAACATCACCATTATTACCTATACAAAACAAAAAAAAGCCATCTTGCATGAAGAATTAATACAATTTTGAATTGCATTTCTAAATTTTATTTATAGGATTAGATGATAGTCATTCTTATTATAGTTTAACCTAGAAAATTTTTTGCTATAGTATAATATGATTCTCATTATAATGAACTTTTGATGTTAGTAAAAACAATTTCACAGCTAACCACTTCACTATAACGAGAATCACTTGTATGTATTTAATATTGTGATTTAACAACAATTGTATGGGTCTTTTTATAATTATGCTTTACGGTATATATTTCATTATCTTCTGAAGAGCAAAAGATTAATCATTATACATAATTTTGATTCGCATTTATATTTAACTTATACAAGCTTTAATATACTTCTAATTTAATACAATCATCCTAATAAAAATAAGCAAGTCAAAAATGATGTTTTTTCCTTTTTAAGAATTAGAATAAAAAAAAATTATTGAAACAGAGTGAATAGATAAATTTTTTAATAGTAGTATGAATCATCATTCTAGTTAAACATAAAAAAAATTAGTGAAATGAATTATTTTAATTCAACAAAACTTTTAGACTTTGTGGGTTTGAGAAGAGTTGGTTTTGCGCAATAAATATTATGCTTTGATGGGTTTTGTATATGTGGTCGCACCTCATTATACAAATACCATTGCCTATTCAAACTTAATCCACACGCAGGCATAATTTCTAGCATTATTATCTCTCCTTTTTCTAAGCATAGAATTGAATTGACCTGTGCAATGCTTATTTCATGTGGCATTGTATCTGTTGATGTTCAAACTATTATCTTTCCAATATTTTCACGTAATATAATAAATTGGTGTTGCTTAAGAATTTCTAGAATTGTTGAAAAGAATTGTTCTAAGAATTTTGACTATTTATAAAAATTTATTGCTCTTTTTCCTTCAGAATCATAGACAGTTGTCACTTGATTATATTCTTCAACCGTAGATTGGTGAACAACATCGATTAAGTCTGCTAAATCATCTACTTCAGAGTTGCAAAGCTTTAATTTAAAGAGACCAAAAAACACATTTGAACTAAATTTTGTATAACCAGCTATCATAAAACAATAGGTTATCTTATTATGAAGACCATCCATTACCCTCTACATCAAATACTTAATCATCACATTGTTTTTATTTTGACCAATGCAATTATCAGCGTAAATTACAACAGATTTTTCTCCCAAACTGTGAAAAGTAAAATAGTTATGTACAAGAGATATTATGGTATCGGCACCTTTACCAACACTTTCATTTTTAGGAATAAGATAATTAATCTGTACAAATAAAAGTATACAGTAGTTTAATCTTAAATGCGAATTACACAGTCATACTATAAAAAATAACAGTCCCGTGATCTTTAAGTGATCTGTTTATTAAAAATCCAGCACAAATTAATTATTAATTTAGTTCTTTTCTTTTACTAATTCAACCCTAATTATACAATTATAGTTAAACTTCAAAATTAATCTGCCAAAATCAAAAAATTAATATAAACTCAATAGTTTATAATTCAAAAACTTAACTTCAAAGATATACTAATATGTTAGACTTTTTCTGCCAAAAAAGTTTAATAAAAAATTAAGGAGCAGTCTGCAATTAAAGAGTATAAAATACAACAAGCATTTTACTATAACTTTCATACAGTGATGGAATGCCAAGTATTTCTGTAAGGCTGTTAATAGAGCACTCTATTGACTCCATTTTAATAGTAATACTTTGAAGTATTACTAATCAAATAGTGTTAATGGAATGCTCCATTAACCACTCTATATTTCTGACAATAAGAAAAAACTATATAGTAAAAAAAGAAAACAATCTTAATATCTTGTGATTTACATAACTGATTTTAATAATTTTATTATTATTAGAATCATAATAACACATTTTGCAACTTTAAAGATTTAGTAAAAAAAGTACTTTTCATTATAATGAGTCAGCATTCCACTACCACAAAAAATTTATAATAAGTTCTGACTATAATACTTAGCAATGATTATACTCATTAATTGTGAACTATCTCTTAATCTACTAAGTATGCTGTTGCTAAGTTTTCAAACCCAGTAACCTCCCAATATTTGTTTTATAGTATATTACTTAATAATGCAGTATTTTGATTCAGACTTCAATTAGAAAAATCACAGAACTGACACATACAACTAGTATGCATTAATTATAAATTTAAATTTAATTACCTAATGTGAAATTCCTTCTTTACATATGCCAAACACTTCAATTTTATAAAGGAATTTAAAATATGTTGCACCCTCCTGTTGCAATGAATATGAAATGTGAACAGCCTTTGCATAATTCCACGAAACATAATTTTCTACAACTACTGAGTTTGGAAATCCAGGTCTTAGTAAGTTATACCAATTTATTATAGATCGTAATGAAATCTTTGAATTTGTAATACAATTTCTATAAATAAAATACAATTGTATGCATATTAGTTCTAATAAGTTAGTATTAATTAATAGCAACAAAAAAGATGACAAATATAAGACAATTATGTCTTTTCAAGAAATACTTATAAATACTGTAGAGTGCTGCATACAATATTCTCCTAGAATAGTACATCCAGGATTTAGACCCGAGTATTTATACTCAGATATAAATTAAGTTTGCAAAACTAGTAACATTATAAAAATAAATCTTTACTTTAAGATTAATTTAAAATACTCCCTTGAATTATACTTTTCTCTTTACTCAGTACTCTCCACGTACAAATTAAGTTAATTAGGATGTTTTTAATTTATATTCGGATACTGAATGCAGCACTCTACAGTACTTATTCAGCAATGCAATTAAATAATATATTAGTATATCACTAAATTGTATTGTTGAAGGAGTATTTCTTAAAAAACTATCATCATATTACATTTGTTAGCTTTTTAATCAATATATTACTTATAATTTTTACGTTCTAATTGAGCCCAAGTTATGTGATTTTGCCATTCTTGTAATTTTTGCTCTGTTTCTATAGTAGACCAATATTTGGCATTAAATCACATAGACTTATATTATGTACATAAATCACTTCAAGCCATCATAAATTTTATTCCTAGAAGATATTTTTTCCAAATTCTTTGAAAACTAGACATACTATTTCATGTTCATTACCACTTTAAACCTCATTATAAATTCAAACCAAAGAATTTTTACTTTCACAAGCTGGTAAAAAAATGATTTCCTTTGTATCATCTCTAAAACTATGACCTAATATTTAATTATTAATAATGTAAAATTATTATTACTATTGTTTACAAATATACATCACTCTGGCTATATCAATATCTAAATATAAGTAAACTCTTTCTATATCGACATTTTTTTAAAAAAATATAATAGAAATGTTGGTATAACTCACTACTGTAAACTGCTGACTAGGGCTGTTAATAGAGCACTCCGTTAACATCATTTTATTAGTAATACTTTAGAGTATTACTATTAAAATGGAGTCAACAGAGTGCTCCATTAACAGCTCTACTGCTGACTCTTGTATCTGGGTATTTTGTCGTATTTTTTGTTTTGGTTTGTCAATTTAAGTTCTTTACCTGCAATGTGATTCTCAAGACTTAGAAGTACTGCTTTTTGGAATATACTTCATATATTACTAGTGTATAAGAGAAATTTTCACCTTCAAATATTTCCTAGATACAATCATAAAGGAGGTACATAAGTCAGCAGTTTACAGTATATCAATATTTTGAATTCTTTTAATAATGAAAAAAAATTGTTGACATATTTAGAGTGACATGTACTGTTGAATCTTTTAAAACCAATCTTGCCAAAATCGATAATCTGTCAAATTTGATGAAAAATTAATAAATGTATAATGTTTCGAACCTGATAACCTTTCAATGCTGATACAAAACCTTCTATCAAGCATGTCAGTTTTTGGAAGGTTTAACAGTAACAAGTTTTTAGACCAGCTTGGATTTCTGTTACAATCAACTCTTTCTATACTGAACCCTAGGTTCTAACCAAAAAAAAAAGTTTATTATATAGAATTACTATGTTTCCTTAAGAGCCATAGTTCTTGTTATACCGAATTAATATCAAAATTTAAAAATTTTAAGTTCGTTATATCCAGAGTTCATTATAAAAAAGTTCGTTATATCTAGAGTTGACTGTATATCAATAGTTAACTGTATTAAAGCATTTTACCTAGTGAAGGTAATCCATGTTAGTTTGCAAAATTTGTGATAAATTTTAATACATGCAAAATAATAGTAAAAGAGATTATATTGTTACTGATTTAACTAGTAAGTGCATGAATTTTTGGCTTAAGTCCGTGATTTTGATAATATGTACGTAAAGCTTCCCACTTTGTTTTACCTATTCCATGAATTGTTAACCAAGCTACTTGACAAATTGAAGCCCCTGAAAAATTATAACTTGTTACTAAATATAACTTTGATGCTTTTGATGCATATTTGGATTTGGGGATTTTAATGCTTCCGTCAATCATTCCTAAAAAATACATATTCATTTCGGACTGTGACATTGCTTTAATTTTATAAAATCTATTAAGTGCTGTTTCTGGATTAACTTTAGTTGAAAGACAATTTTCTTTGCAACAATTTTTTTGGTTAAGTTTTGTTAAAAAAGCCTCATCATCATATTTTTTTAAACATTGTTGCTGCTTGATATTACATTCTTTAGAGTATTGTATTGAATTCTGAAAAAAAATTTTTTGAAATTCTTTAATTTGCTGTAAAGTAAAATAATCGTCTAACTCATCAATATTATTTAATAATAAATCTGATGTTGAACATTGGCAATTATCTTCGTTGTTATCTGATTCATTGTCATCTAAATTATATTTTGCCTGATATATCTCTTGTAACTGATTTAACTCATAATTTAAATCTTTTATTTCATTATGAGTTTCTTCAAATATACTATTAAATAATAGATGTGTATTCATGTTTTAGAAGCCGTGTCTTATTATAAAATTAGATCTTTAAAGCTATAATATGCATTTAGAATGCAAATTACAGGTTTTCATCTGGCATAACTCTAATAGTATGTACATGCAGAAGTTTACTCTAAGTTAGTATACACACATATATTTAAACAATACTGATGTAATTACGATGAGAATTTACATAAATATAAATATTTATTTCAAGATTATTACAGGGTTATATGGTTTTTTTAGGTAAGAACCTTACATCACCAATCTAAAAAAATTTGCTACATATCAGTTTTATTGTTAGATTTGAATGTATTTTGTTTTTTTAATTTTACATTACACCTAACTTTAATTTAAATTTTTTAGATTGATAACGCTAATATGGTTTTGCTTTAAATTATGCACTTGTTAAGAGGCTCAATTATTGAACCTATTATTATAAACAGAATTGTCACTTTACTATATTCAGTGACTAGAAGCAACTGGACTGAACTGCATTAGGCTTATAAAATTACTATGTTCAGTAGTCCAATGATGCAGCATTGGACTATGTCCAGTGTGATCCAATTGACAACCCTGATTATAAATTAATATTATTAATATGTATTAACTAGGCTTATACTGAAAGAAATCTAAAGTATCTTTATTTTTAAACAATTCTGCTTAGTTTAAAACATTATCTTACAAAAATTTAACTTTTAACCATTAAGACATCATTAAATAATATAGTATTCAAAAGCTTTCAAAATATCCAAAAAGATAATTACTAACCCTTTAACTGTTAGCTTAAATGTAGTCTTAATTCTTTAATCTTACTATCTAATTAGTGATTACAATTGATAAAATCTACTTAGTTAACTACATCTTACGATTTTTACAAAAATTAACTTAGTCGATTTAATTTAAGCATTTAAAAAAGGTTGGAATATTTAGAGAACTAACCATGCTATATGGTAGTAAATTCCATACCAATTCTAGTACGTATTTAAACTTCAAACTTAATTTGACACACAATATATGCATAGTTATATTTTTATTTAAGAGATATAATATGTGATATACAATGCTCTTCTATCTCTAACTATCTAAATATTACTATACTTTATCTGTTAAAAGTCAACATAACTTATGATTATTTTCTCAAAAATTAAAATTAGAACATTAAAAAATAATTGTTAGTAATAAATATATGGTACTTAAGATCTTAATAAAAATGTTAAAAAGAAAAATCTTAATAATTTAACAATAAATTTTAAATATTTACATAAATAATTATACAGGATTGTTGCTTACTTTCCTGAAGTCATTTTTTTGAAATACCACTTTACCGAAGTCATAATACCAACAATCTATTTTACTAACAGGATAAAAATAGGTCTGTATCATTTCACTAAATATCAATTAACTGACAAGTTTATTTTACTGACAGTTTATTTCACTGACAAAGTAATTCTAATCATTGTTATTAGAATCAGGTTTAGGATTAGAGTTAAGGTTAATGCAATTTTTAAAAACCTATTCAGTAAAATGAGTTGTTAGCAAAATAAACTTGTTGGTTAATTGATTTTCGGTGAAATGACACAGACCTATTTTTGCCCTGTTAGTAAAATGGATTTTCAGTATTATGACTTCAGTAAAATAGTATTTCAGAAAAATGGATTTCGAGAAGTTAACCCGGAACCATTATACAGTGCATTAAAAAGATAAATATTGTAAATGGATCTAAAAAAAAATGATTTCAGGCATTGAATTTTAAAGATTAAGTTTATTTAATTATAAGTTTAAAAGCCTTAAAGTTTAGATTTCATTTAATTAAAAACCTGAAGTTTAGATTTCTTTTAATAGTACCGAATACAAACAAAAGACTATCGATTTGTTTGTTGCTTTGTACACTTTTTTATATAAGCCACATGCGGTGCTTAATAACAAAAATGTTTTTATTTATCAACATGGCTCAGTCTTTCCAAAGTCTTAATGGATTTGATCTTTACTAAGAGTGCTAACTTTTGACAAAGATTTCACCTTTCACCAAGGTTTCACTAGAGTTTTGCAGTTTCGCCAGAGTTTTGCCAATTTCGTCTTTTGCCAGATTTAGTTTTGCCATTCACCATGTTTTAAAAATAGTTTTACCTAACAACAGTAGTTCAAACCATAGACATTTATTATTCCTTTAATCATGAACTTTTGTAGGCAACTTTGCTCGCAAAAATTTATACATATTTACATCACTAAAGTCGTATATATAAATAATCTAATTGAGTCATGGGAGATATCTTTTAGAAATTGTCAATATCAAACTAAAACTTCAACCTGATAGGAATAAATGATATGTTTTGTAATAGCTTGTGGTTTGACTAGCTAAACTAAAAGAAAATAAAGGCAAGCTATTGAAAGTAGTTAAAAATAATATTAGCTAAAAGCACTTTGTGATAGTCTTGCTGATAATAATATTATATCTAGGTTTATTATAATATATGTAAATTGTGCTGGTGATTTATAAAGAAAACCTAAATAAAAAATAAAATTTATATAGATAATTTAAAGTTTAACGAGTTAGTAAATCCAAGCAAAATTATTTAATAAATATGCTTGAGCAATTTGTGTTACACAATTTATGTTACACGAAGTCCGCATTAGTAGAAACCAAAAAAATTTATTAGATAAATTTGCTTGGTTTCTACTGACAATGTATGCTATACAAGTTATGTTACATGAGACTCAATTAATCCTGAATGTTGATTATTATTTATTCAGATGCCAATCATTGTTTATATCGAGTTTGTGTAACCAAACACAAAAGTCACATTATCTCAAAAACTCTAATTTATCAATTTGCCTGGTTTCTACTGACATCCTCCCTATATGTACAAAATTTTGCATAATTTTTGGTCCAATATATTGTAAATACTTTTATAAGCTCTATAAGCAATCTGTCTGTACTGACTGTCTAACTTTATAAGAAATTAGAGTATACCAAAGGTTGCATCTGACTATTGCTCTATAATAGAATGTTGTCAATCTGATAACATCTTCTCATAGAGAAGTAAACAAAAACTAAAAAAACTTATATATAAAAAAACACAGAGGTATAAAAAAAAATATTAAAAAATACAATACAAGAGATAAAAGAAGAAAGTAAAAAAGCAAAAAAAACAAAAGAAGTATATGCAACTCTCATCACATGATTATCAAATGGTTACAATTATAAGTCTATGTTGGACTTTTAAAAATTATAAACTATACTAAATAAAATTAACTTTATTCTTTTTCTATTTACTTAAAATATTTAACAAAAACTATATAGAATAAAACTTTAACTTGAATATAGAGAGTCAGCATGAATTATTAGTTAGTTCAAAAACAATATTTCATGAAGTTTTAGCAGTTCAAGGTATATGTATAAGCTATATTTGTATTGCTGTATTGTTTATACAATTCTAATTAGAAAGTAAATACTATTGACTGTTTTAATATTTTACATCTTGATTTTTTGAAGAAGGTAAACTAAATTATCTACTTTTTACAAAAAATTTTTCAAAAAAAACAAACATAAGATGAACCAAACTATGACTTTTGTAAGTGCTTAACCCTTCTGGGTGTTTTTTGTAAGTTTTACAGTTATATAAAAATAATATATCTAACACTATTATTTATTTTATAAGAGACTTTTAGCTTTTACCAACCACTTCTTCTATGGTTTTAAAGCTTCTTTAAACTGTCAATACAAAGTAATAGCTTCTTTTTTAACTTTATTTTAATGCCTATTATGCATATCTAGTGCTTTAAAAAAGTTTTCATAAAGTTTAATATATTAATTATATTATTTATTTATAGTTTAGCATTTTGGAAAGTTTGGTTTAGATTATTATTGGAAAGAGTATGAACAAGGTCATTAGTTATTAGTAACTATTGTCTTTATTATGATTTAATTATAATTACATAACTTGTACAAGATGAGTGTACTACTAGTTACATATACAGCTTTTAGCTTTTTATTTAAGTAGTTCATCTGTAGATTTTACATTAGTTATCATATCTGTAATCTATTAGAAGATTACCTAATTAAATACTCTAATTTTTATACTATATCTAACAGATAATTATATAAGTTTTTGTATATCTAAGTGTTATCTAACCTAACTCTAACCTTTATGTTTGTATATTTGTTAAGCTATTATATATTTCAGAGTACATTACCTGACTATAGAACTTTAGAGAATTTTTCTGTTAACTAACTACTTATATTTAGTCTTTGTTATTAGAGCTTATTCTTGCAAAGTTTACTCAGATACTAGTACTTACTTTATAATATATTTATAATACTTATAATATACTTTTGCTTTTAACACCAAACTTCTAATCTAAATAATCTAAAAGAACTGTAATCTGTTTTTAATATATCAAAATTATAATATTTGATATTTTGTTTCTCTAATTCAAGACTTTTAGTAGTCTAGTTAGTAGTATCTCTTATCTAAGATTCTTGCTTACCTAATTTCTCTATATTAGTATTTGTTTTCTAAATCTAGCTTTTATAGTAATATCATCAAAATTTTATGCTATCTTTTTATTCAGATCTTTTCTAAATAGACTTCTTGTTTTCTAATTTCAATAAATTTACATAGTCACAAAAACTTATTTAAAGTTTGTATTGCCTAATGTTGATTTATATTTTTTTATATAATCTATTATATAGAAGTTTTATAACTTGCCAGTTATGCTAATATGATTATTATTACAAGTATTTTAATTCAATTATTAGAAACAATTACTATAATATGAATATTATATTAATAAAATTTGAACATTCAATCTATGACTTGGAAGGTTAACAACTTATCTATTTTACTAAGTCATCATATTTTTAATTTGTTTTTTTAAAAATTTTTTATTTTAGATTTAAACTTTATTTAATTTATTATATTATTAACTTATTTTTTATTATTATTGTTATTATGTTTTCTAGTAAATTTTTATTTTTTTTTTGGTTTTTATTTCTTTTCATTATTTTA